CTCCCCAAACTGCTCAGGACTGCCTGAAAAAAAAAAACCTAAAATAAAAAATAGAATTTTATTTAATTCCACGAACGCAGAGTTCAGGAAGATTGCCGTATCTGCTCTCAGCTGTGCCTTTGGAACAGAGTTTCTCAACCGCCCTCATTTTCAGATAGTCCTCGGCTTACGACCACCGTCGGGCCCAGAATTTAGGTTGTTAAGCAAGACGCTGGTTCAGTGAGTTTTGCCCCCTTTCACGAACTTCCTTGCCCAATATTGTTAAATTAGACACACGGGTCGTTAGTGAACCTGACTTCCCCCATTGATCTCGCTGGTCAGAAGGTTGCAAAAGGGGATCGTGTGACACACACACACACACCAGGGATGCTGCAACCGTCGTAAATATGAGTCGGTTGTCAAACATCCGAATGTAAATCACGTGACCCTGGGGATGCCGGAACGGTCATAAGTGTGAAAAATGGTGCTAAGTCACTTTTTTCCAGTGCCTTTGTAACTTCAAACGGTCACCAAGGACAACCGGTAGATGGACTTCAACTCCCAGAATTCCCCAGCCAGCAGGGAATTCTGGGAGTCGAAGTCCACCCATCTGAAAGAGACTCAGGCTTTCCTTGTGTCTTTTCTAGCCCCGGCCTGCCCATCTTCCGAGCCCAGAAGAAAACAAAGACTACATAACCCAAAATTCACGGAGGCCCATCATCCTGCTGCACGGTTTGTTTCAACGGTGGGGCACTGAACACGGCAAGATCTGGCGGCATAGGCAAGCATCCCTCCAGGGTGATTTAGTTGGCTCTCTGGCCCATTGCAAGGGGGTTGGGCTAGATGATCCTTGGATACCCCTCCCACGTTCACTGAGGACCACAGTTGAGCCTCAACCTTCCATTGCTAAGCAAGGCAGTTGTTAAGGTTGAATTGCGCCCCATTTTACAACCTGTTGTGTTGGGTTTTTTTGCCCCAGTGGCTAAGCCAGGGGTCTTCAAACTTGGCCCTTTTATGACTTGTGGACTTCAACTCCCAGAATTCCCCAGTCAGGCACAGGAATAATAATTTACTCAGGCATCTGGGTTAATTCAACAAACTTTGGTTATGCTACACAGAAGTTACCCTATATTGAAATAGCAGCTGTTTCTTTTCTTCCCTGCCTTTTGCCTGTTTTAAAATAAGAATTTTTAAATTAGATTATCTTTGCAAATAACCAAAGGGACATTGTTATTATTCATAGCACTGCCCCTTTGGTTATTATTAACATTATTAATACACCTGGTTATTAATAATAGTAGCAATAATCTCTATTGCCACTTTATCCTCACATTTTGCTCCTGGTTCAGTCACCGAAATAATTTTTGGGGAGAAGACGGGGCTCGAACCCTTGTAAGCCTCCAGAGATCGAAGATATACGCATGCGTCAATTCTTCAAACGGCCAACTAACCACGGGCGCCTGCAATAACTCTCGACGGCCACTAGGCCGAGCTCTTCACCGCGCATGCCTCCACCTCCCTCAGAGGAACGAAAGAAGAACCTTCTGCGCTTGCGAGAAACTTAGCGCTTGAGATGGTCCTGCGCAAGCGCATTAAAAAGGGCCCTTCTATGAGGGCGCACGCGCGTGAGGAAGGCCTGGAAGCAAAGCATTATGGGCAATGTGGGCAAACTTTTAATGGTTTTGTAATTAAAAAGCTTTATTACTCTTGCCAAATAAAAGATCGTTTCATGCGCTTTTGGGGTTTATTTTTTAATAAATTATGGGAAATTATGAACGAAGTTTTTTGCTCCCTTGATTTCTGAAGTGTTGAATTTTTTGTTTTAATTCTCTCTAGCATTTTCAAAATGCTGGAATCCTTTTTTCATTTTAGTACTGTATAAAGTTGTGATATATGTGCTATTTTTCTACAAGTCTTGCCTCTCTTTTATCATACGCCATTTCATCTCCCCCTCCTGAACTTAACCTAGCTGGTTAATATATAAAAACTATAGAATTTAAAGAATTACTGTAGTGCACGGGTAGGCAACCTTGGCTCTTTTATGACTTGTGGACTTCAACTCCCAGAATTCCTGAGCCAGCCACGCTGAGGGGAAAGGGAGAGGTTTCCATGCTGAGCCATGCTGGCTCAGGAATTCTGGGAGTTGAAGTCCACGAGTCATAAAAGAGCCAAGATTGCCTACCCCTGTCCTAACCTCATCCCTCAGGACAGGGAACTATGGCAACTTTATGACTCGTGGACTTCAACTCCCAGAATTCCTGAGTCAGGCAACGCTGAGGGGAAAGGGAGAGGTTTCCATGCTGAGCCATGCTGGCTCAGGAATTCTGGGAGTTGAAGTCCACGAGTCATAAAAGAGCCCAGGTTGCCTACCCCTGTCCTAACCTCATCCCTCAGGACAGGGAACTATGGCAACTTTATGACTCGTGGACTTCAACTCCCAGAATTCCTGAGTCAGGCAACGCTGAGGGGAAAGGGAGAGGTTTCCATGCTGAGCCATGCTGGCTCAGGAATTCTGGGAGTTGAAGTCCACGAGTCATAAAAANCTCCCCAAACTGCTCAGGACTGCCTGAAAAAAAAAAACCTAAAATAAAAAATAGAATTTTATTTAATTCCACGAACGCAGAGTTCAGGAAGATTGCCGTATCTGCTCTCAGCTGTGCCTTTGGAACAGAGTTTCTCAACCGCCCTCATTTTCAGATAGTCCTCGGCTTACGACCACCGTCGGGCCCAGAATTTAGGTTGCTAAGCAAGACGCTGGTTCAGTGAGTTTTGCCCCCTTTCACGAACTTCCTTGCCCAATATTGTTAAATTAGACACACGGGTCGTTAGTGAACCTGACTTCCCCCATTGATCTCGCTGGTCAGAAGGTTGCAAAAGGGGATCGTGTGACACACACACACACACCAGGGATGCTGCAACCGTCGTAAATATGAGTCGGTTGTCAAACATCCGAATGTAAATCACGTGACCCTGGGGATGCCGGAACGGTCATAAGTGTGAAAAATGGTGCTAAGTCACTTTTTTCCAGTGCCTTTGTAACTTCAAACGGTCATCAAGGACAACCGGTAGATGGACTTCAACTCCCAGAATTCCCCAGCCAGCAGGGAATTCTGGGAGTCGAAGTCTACCCATCTGAAAGAGACCAAGGCTTTCCTTGTGTCTTTCCTAGTCCCGACCTGCCCATCTTCTGAGCCCAGAAGAAGACAAAGACTACATAACCCAAAATTCACGGAGGCCCATCCTGCTGCATGGTTTGTTTCAACGGTGGGGCACTGAACACGGCAAGCATCCCTCCAGGGTGATTTAGTTGGCTCTTTGGCCCATTGCAAGGGGGTTGGGTTAGATGATCCTTGGGTACCCCTCCCACATTCACTGAGGACCACAGTTGAGCCCCAACCTTCCATTGCTAAGCAAGGCAGTTGTTAAGGTTGAATTGCGCCCCATTTTACAACCTGTTGTGGGTTTTTTTGTCCCAGTGGCTAAGCCAGGGGTCTTCCAACTTGGCCCTTTTATGACTTGTGGACTTCAACTCCCAGAATTCCTCAGTCAGGCACAGGAATAATAATTTACTCGGGCATCTGGGTTAATTCAACAAACTTTGGTTATGCTGCACAGAAGTTACCCTATATTGAAATAGCAGCTGTTTTTTTTCTTCCCTGCCTTTTGCCTGTTTTAAAATAAGAATTTTTAAATTAGATTATCTTTGCAAATAACCAAAGGGACATTGTTATTCATAGCACTGCCCCTTTGGTTATTATTAACATTATTAATACACCTGGTTATTAATAATAGTAGCAATAATCTATCTATTGCCACTTTATCCTCACATTTTGCTCCTGGTTCAGTCACCGAAATAATTTTTGGGGAGAAGACGGGGCTCGAACCCTTGTAAGCCTCCAGAGATCGAAGATATACGCATGCGTCAATTCTTCAAACGGCAAACTAACCACGGGCGCC